ACCATAGTTGAGGTTCAAAAATATTTTTGATACCTATATTGGTTGTTGAGAATTAAGCTTCAAAGTTTACCTCGCAAAACTTTTCGCGAAACCTAATATTACTAAAAACACTGTGTAATTATCTTACGGGGGAACCGCCATCACATATAAGTTATATGATATAACATACAGTATACATTAATCTACCTTTGTCCTTGATCTCAAATATACCTTTTACTCATACTTATATTGGCAATATAATATTGTTGTAAAATAATTATAAAAAGTTACTTATTAAAAATCTTAAATTCAATCAGCTATAAATAATATAATAGTTTCTAATATAATGTACTTAATATCCTTCCGAAGCAAACATTTTATTGAAACTATTTTAACGGATAATCAATTTGTCGTTTAGTTTATTTTCAGACATTGAATGCAAAAGTTATTTTATATTAACAAATAAAAAGTAATACAAAAAGTACAACAAAAGCTCTTTTACTTAAAATGAATAAATTCTTAATAGTTTTAATAATTACAACTCTCGAAATCTTCACATTCACTTGCCAAGGTAATATTAAAACAATAAGCTAATTAATTTAAAATTATTGTATAGTTTATGTAAAATTTTATAATAATAACTAGAGTTATGGCAAAGGACTAGTTGTGGTCGAGGTGCAAGGTTCAATAAGTGTGGGACTCCCTGTCCACTCACGTGCCAAAACTATCAGCGCTCACTGAGACCCTGTACTCTTGATTGCTATACAGGGTGTGAGTGTAAGCGCCCGTACGTTAAAGTCAGCGCTGGCGTCAATAAATGTGTCAAGTATTATGATTGCAAAAAATTTGAGAATAATTATTAATAATGTATTTAAAATTAGTTTAATTATTTATTATTAACCAGTAAGAATTAAATATGAAATTAATAGTTTTTAAAATTCTAAACTTTTATACTTTAAATTGTAAAACAGAAAAGTTTATTTTGAAAATTAAAATCTTTATATAAACTGTGTTGATCATTATACTTTATAATAAACTTTTATTATTTTAATACATAAAATCTTATACACGAAATTATATTTTATTGCGAGTTGCAGTTTTACAACCCTTATCACAATTGAATAAACAATTTAATAGCATTAATGTTTATGGTGTCATTATTTTATTTACTTAACTTTTTCGGTTTTAATAATTATTAAGAAATGTAATTTGTGGTTTATGATATAGCGAGGCAATAGTTATTAAAGGGTTATAAAATGTATAATATTAAATCTGTTTAATGTCAGCAATGTTGTTTGCTGAGAAAGCCTACAAATAAATATTATATTAACTCTATTGTTTAATTGTGTTTTAGAAAAATCATACTTATTATCAGGATAAATGGGTTAGCCGGATTTACTGTATGATATTAATGTGTTTAAAATGTGCAAGTAAATAAGTATATAAAATAGATGTTTATGAAATAAAGTATTAGGCATTTCACTGGAAAGATGTTAATCAGTATTAGTCCGACCTAGTTGAATATTACATTTATTAGAATGTTATACAATAAAGTTGGGGTCAAAAACATTTTAATGATTTATTTATGAAATTTATACCTAAAATATAAAAGTA